TTGTGGAGGATGTCGCTTCACTGGCCCATGTTGTTATTGTTACAAGATCATTACGCTCTTCCCTGCTGAGGCAGATCAGTCACCGGCCACTGGACGGCCGCTCACAGCAGCTCACGCCGGCTGCCAGCCACTCAACGCTGGCTGCTGGTCACTCACAGTAGCTTATGGCAGCCCACTGCAGCCTACGCCAGCACGGGCGATTCATGGCAGCCCAGCTCCAGGTCGAGCTGTTGTTCACCATCTTAGCTGCAGCATCCACTGGTCCATGTGGAATCCGAACCGGCAGCCTTGCTGCTCAGAGCTCGTGCTCCCAAGCCAACTCTTAACCAACGAGCCACTCGACCGGCCCCCTACCCCAGTCTCTTGACAGAAGCTGGAGTGAGCCTTGTACACCAAATTACACATTGCTCATCTCAAAATCCTCCATAGGCTTCCATATCAATTTAACTAAAGTCTTTATAATCTTTGTAATATAGTATCTGCTGTGCCACTCTGTCTTTCCGACTACATTGCCAGCTACTTTCTCCTCTAATTCAGTGCTGTGTGGCCTCACTGGCCTTATTCATTAAACATCAAGTACAGTCCTTCCTCTTCTAGATAGACACATCTCTCGTTCTCCTTCTCCAGGTGCTTGTTTGTTCATTTCAATGAGGCCTTCCCTGACTACATTACTTAAAATTGCCACAACCTGTATTGTCAACACTATCCTTATGCCCCTTCTCTGCTTTATTTTCCTCTATGGGAGAAGTAGTTTATTTTTACACCTCTGAAAGGTAAGTTCCGTGATATCAGAGATGTTTTGTTTACTGTGTATCCCAAGAGTCCATAACAATGCCAGGTAGGTTGAAGACAGTAAATATTTGTTGAATGAATGATGACTTTATTTTTGAGCAAAGTTCTCAGGTCTCAATAGATCTCTCTTAGGGGGAGATCCATATATTGGGTTGTCGGAAAAGTCATGATGTATTTTTTCTGTTTTTCGTTGCAAAAATGCATCATGACTTTTCTGACAACCCAGTAGATAACCCAGGAGATTGTGCAGGCAGCAGAAACATTAACTGCCCCTGAGGCATAAGTAGTATATTCAATAAACAGCAAGGAGACCAGTGAGTTGAAGCTGAATGGGTTAGAAATATTAGGAGATGAAGTTAGACATCCAGGGGCCAGGTCATGTAGGGCTTTGTAGGTCATTGAAATGTATTTTCTGCATATCACAGAGTTTCTACATGGTGACAGTGGTTGCCTGCAACCCTTGGCATATCGTTTCCCAGTAGAAGAGAGAAGTGCCTCCATTTCTAGTCACAGGAAAGGATTCCTAGGAAAGTTATGGTATTTTGGTTTTGCTTCAGAAAACTCCAGGTGGGAGGTTTGGGGAAGGGTGAGGTAAGAGACAAAATAAGATTGGCCATGAGATAGTAATAGTTGAAACTGAATGATGGATCAGTGAAGGTTCACTGTATTTTTTTTTCTTGTGTTTTAAGTTTTCTGTGAAATAATTTTTTAAAAAAGGCTTTCCATGTAACTGGACCACATTGGCTAGAGGGCGTATATATTCATTACATATTGATTGGCATTGTGTGATTCTGCCATATTGTGCAGACTGAATCAGGTTTCTGAGCCTACAGGGGTCAGGCTGGATCATGGGTTAGCAAATTTTTTCTGTAAAGGGATATAGTAAATATTTTAATCATTGTAGTCTATACTCAATTGTGCTGTTGTATTAAGAAAGCAGCCATAATATGTAAATGAATGGGCCACTGCATTCCAGTATTCGATTATTTTACATACATGGAAAACAAGCCTCAGAGGTTGAATTATTTGCCCAACATATAGCTAATAGATGGATGAAACATCTTTTTCCGACTGTCTCAGGTAGGTATGCACTATTTTGTTCAGTTAGGGCTTGCAAACCATAGCTTGGCAAGTGAAACTTGTTTCTCATGGTATTTCAATGATTTAGATTTATGCCTTTGAAATGCGACTATAACTTGCCAGTCCCTACCATGTCCTTGTTTTGCACTCACTTTACTTTTTATTTTTTAAAGATTTCTTATTGGGGAATTGGGGGGATGGGAACAGACAAGTTGCTCTCCTTTTTGTTCCTCAGCCCAGCTGTGGAGGACGCTGCTCCACCGGCCCAAGCTGGCACAATCATTGTGCTCTTCCCAAGTGAGGCAGACCAGTCGCGGGCCTCTGAACGGCCGCTCACTGCGGCTGCTGGCCACACACGGCAGCCCATGGCAACCCACTGCAGCAGGGCCTGCAGCCGTCGCCGTCGCCTCACGGCAGCCCAGCTCCAGGCTGAGCCGCCGTTCAGCATCTTAGCCGCGGAGGGCAGCGTCACCGGCCCTCACACGTGGATCCGAACCGGGGCCCTCTGGCGTCCCAAGCCAGCTTCCAACCATCGCGCCACTCGGCCGGCCCCTCACTTTATTCTTTATCTACCTCCTCCTGTAGGCTTGAGTTTTGGCACGGAACGGAAATATCTTGGATCTAATCTTGTCTGAAAGTTGCTTCTAAAAATTTAAACATAATTCACAGACCAGTTTTCATTCTTCATGCAAACATCCGTTTTTTCATCTCAACTTCAGTATTCTAATCCAGGGAATATTATCAATGTCTGTTCCCATTTCTTCACTTACTCCACTAATATTTAATGCTTACTACCTGACAAGTACTATTGAATACTGGGCATCCAACAGCAGTGATGAATGAAAGGGAAAGACAGATTGAGCTCAAGAATCATGCAGGGCCTCCAGGCAAAGATAAAAGTTAAGTGACACTTGCATTTAGACTACCTAGCTGTTAATAGATGTTGGTGGCCTGAGTTTGAGTAGTGGAATTGGAGAGAAGTTATTTTGGAGTTGGAATGGACAGGACTTGACCTGTGAGGGCTGGAAGGGAAGGGACCTGAAGCTTTCTGGAGGGTAGATGGCGTTACTATTTTACCATATGAAACACTGGCATTTTTCGAACATATACATGTTTGGAGGTATGTTAGAAGTACACTTGAGCAGAACAAAAGCAAAACTGGTCTGGAGGAAAAAAAATTCCAGAGGCAAAGGCCCTTTGATGGTATTTAAAACACCCAGGCAAATGGAAAGGACCAGGACAAAGAGGGAGCCTCAACCAAGTCCAGCACTTAAAGGTTATTATCATACAACAACCAGTGCAACAGTGATTGCTTTTCTCTTTACATTAACGAGGAGTCTCATGAAATTTTATTCAATTTAAGGGTACAGACAAGAAGCAAATTTCAGTTGAACAGAAATAATGCAATAATAGAATTCCTGGCTTGGATGGCTGTACTTGAGATTGTTCAGAGTGCCAAGAACTATCTGGGTTATCAGCTATCCAGTTTTCTCCGCTCTTCAACTGCTGGCCATGCCAAGATCCATTACTCCTAACTAAAATGGAAATGAAGTGTGTACAGAGAAAATACTTTATTCTTAAAATGCCAGAGAATGTAGAACATCTTTTAGAATTAACAGAAGTTTCAGTCTCTAAATGGGTTACTTATTTCCCTAATAGGTTTACCTCCAGTCAACTTTTAAGCCTTCAGGATTTCAACTTTAAAAAAAGGGTTTAAACAATTTTCTTTTCAAAATGCAAATTCCCTGAAATGGAACAGCTCAATTGTATTTAACTCTGCAGCAACCCAAATTCATTATATACGTTTAATACATAGTTCCCAAAGCTGCACTAACTCGATAAACATTCTAATCATATCAGTTTAATGAGATTATCAGTCCCTCCAGATAGTCTACAAAGCAAAGGATTCAATCAATCTTTTTACCACTGTCTCCTTTAGGGCACTATAGTAGGCACAAGCAGTTGAGCTTTTAACTTAACCAAGGTTCTTATTAAGTTACTACATTGACAGTGATTGAGCATATTTGTAAAGTACCCTCATCCTTTTCTCAATTTATTAAGAGGTGTGACTATAGTCCTAGAATAAGAATAAAAGGACTGTTAAGTGCACTGGAAAATTAAAATGATTGGATTTTATATGGCTGCTAATTGCCAATAATAGGGGAGAAAAGAGTGGAGGAGAAAGGGAGTTGGGAAGCCTTTCTGATCTACACCAAGTTTCATACAATTACACATAAGATTGTGTTTAGGTACAAATTCACTGCAATTCAAGTTTTTGGACAGAAGCCAATTATAAATTATTTTGAAGTCAAAAGTATTTATCACATCTTCTAGATTCCACTTAAATAAAACCTACTGAAAAAGTTTTTATTTCTTAGCTATATTTTAAACCTTTAGACCTCAGTAGGCTGGTGAATAGATCTGTTTCTATCAATACTAGAGGACTGACACATTACATGAAAAATCATAGCAAGTAATTTTCATTTACCAGAATTCTCCAGAAATGATTAACCTACTTTACATGGCACCTGTAAGGAGCATCTGAGGAAAACTTTTACAAGGGTAATTTAGTAGCCTAAGCAATAACATACACTAAAACTTGGGCACATTACATTTAAAGCCCAATAGTTCTGCCAGTTCCTGCAAGCAGCCTATTTGAGTATGACAATGGGTTCATTGGTAAAATTTCAATACCACTTATCAGTGTTACGCCCAACAACTTTAATTAAATCACTCACCGAGAACTTTTTTGATTTTTATAAGATTAGAAAGAACCCAAATAACTGTATTTGATACACTTAAAATCAAGTAAGAATCTCTTAAAATCTCCAAAGTAAATGGGAAATACTTGTCTGATGCCTATGGTGGGCTAGGGTGTAAAGCACTTGTTAAAAGATGGTGACTGGCAGAAAACAATTTCCTTTATTTTCTAGCAATCCTGGCCAAAAAAAAAAGTTACTGCTTCAGAATTGGATCCACAAGATATATTTGCCAATTCAAATGTCTAAGTCCCCTCCTCCTTAAAAAAAGACGTATTAGGGCATGCATTCTCAGTGGGGGCAATATTACCCCCAAGTGGGACCAAAACACTCGTACTCTTTTCATGTATAAAGCACATACAATACACATACAGTATATCTATATTAAAATTTATTGGGATGCTATTAGAAAAGTCTAAAAAGGCTTCCTGGGGAAGGGCGATAATGAGCTTTGAGAAACAAGAGTTAGAAGTAGATCTCTTAGTCACATGCATTTTCTCTCACCACCATCATTATGCTATGTCAAAATATCCTGTGGCCTTTTTGGTATTTGGAGTTTTCATAAGAACAGCATAATAAGTATCTCTAGGACAATACTCCCAGAAATAATTAAGATTAGGAAACTTATCATCATCTCTAAACACACATTTAATTATGGCATCTAAGAGGAGACTTATCTTTAGAAACCGACACCAAGTTAGGAAAATCAATGAACATTTATCCAATCATAATTACAAGTACAATTTTAACATGTTTTAATTACATATTTGAGACCATAGGTTGGCACTGGCAGCTGAGTTCCAAAATAACCACTTAAAATTCAAAATGAAAATCTCCAGTCTTTTCAGAAAGCATTCCCTTTCTTTATACTGTCACAGGTGACTTACCCATTTACTGTAAATGTAGTTAGTAAACACCACTTTGTCATTATGAAAAAAAAAGCTATGATCAAAGATCATAATGTAGTTCTGGAAGACTACACACTCATTCACTATACACAGTATATAATTAAACAGGGTACGTTTTGAATGGCAGTAACATGCAATGATTTGGTTGTAGAAATGTTAATGTAGTTTCTGCTACATCAGAATTCTGTGTAGGTGTTTACAGTTTGGGAATTATAAGGATGAAAAGAGCAATTATTTAATACTTACATAGTAAAGACACTTGAATGCATAACATACAGTTACCACTGGGCATTAACATGGAATTTACAAAATATAAAAAATTAAAAAGACTGACCTATATAAACTGATAAGGATGGACTTTATTTTTTTAAAAAAAAGTCTTGAGTACTACAAATTACAAAGTAAAAGCAGATCACTATGTAGAAACCTACTGAATATATTTTGCCTGTGCATGAAAACTTTAACAATTTCACCCTATTCACAATGCTATCAGTAATAATGCTCTTCATAAGATTACTATATACCTTTCAAATTATACTACATGTTACTCCTTCCAGGTGAACTTCTAAACACCAAATTCTTGGCTCATAAAAATGGCACCTTTGAAAGGGGCAATTTTCAGTCAGTCTCTGGTGGCATTCATCATTCCAAGCTAATTTCTTTCAACAATCAACACTTTCAAAGTGTTCACTTTTAACATGAACTTTTGAACCAAAAAGGGTGATCACATTTTGTTTTCTACTGACTACATATATAGATGGGTGACAGCAAGAAAAGAAAGACATTAAAAGGCAGCCATTAAAATAAATGGATCAATTGTATAGCAGATATTTGGCTCATGGCAATGAAAGAAAAAGGCAACTAGGGTATGTTAATAGCCAGACGCTTGAGTCATTAGTGAATATGTTAAGAAAATGAAACTGATCCTATATGACCAAGTGGGAATATATCATTACCATTGTACCCCATTCTTTACATCAAATACTCTAGGCCAATAGGAAATATGAGTTATTTAGAATCCCCATTAGAACCATTGATCATTTAACATTTTCAACAATATACTGGGTTTAGTACAGTCAATTCCTTTACTCACACTATTTCATGAGTCCTTTCCTATCAATCTATAAGTGTTAAATTCATTAAATGACAAGACTTTTCTAAAGTACAGTGAAAATGCTATGAAAATAATACCCATTTGTTTTGCCTGGAAAGATACAAACTGAATGCAGAAGTTTCTCAATGGGAAAAAGCTCAACTTTCTTCTTCCCACCACTTCTGCCACATACAATTTCCCAAAGACCTCACTTCCAAGCTTCTTCTCCATGGCTTCACTAAGGAATGAAAACCAGAGAGCAAACAATTGAGCTCAAGGACATCTGGGGTTAAAAACGCAAGAAAATATTAACATGTAAGCAATGGTTCACATATTCAAGATTCATGTTAATGAATTCAATTATTGTATATGAGATTTTCATTGATGAGGAGGGCTTTGGGCATACCAAATTATCACACAAATCATTGCCTTTTGAGACTTTGGATACTTTTACAGTTTAATTTGCGAACAGAATTTTTATAACAAATTATTTTTAACCAAATCATATCTTGAAAACTGTTTATATAGAAAACCCAAGGAAAAAGTGAACTGTTCATTGTGGAAGGCCTTAAATTACATTATTACAGTAGAAAATACAGGAGGTAGAAGATAACTGAAAAGACTAATGCAACATTAGATTCAAATCTATAGCTCCTGTAGCTACTTAAAACATGGTTTTAGGAACTAAACCCAACATTTCCAGTAACCATAGAAAGTTAAAATAAAATTTGCCATGAAAGCCCTTATATCATGCTTGATATAGGGAGGTAGGAAGATGTAAGAACCAGGACACATGAGACATGACATTTTATCTACAACTCCTGTTTGCTTTACTGAGGGTGTAGTTTCAAAATTCAGTCACCTTCTTCAGCTTCAGACTCAGATTCTAGAAAAGGGGAAAAATGCAGCCAAGCATTATATAATATCAGAAACCAAAAGTTCCCATTTATAATTTTGAAGCTTTTTATTATAATTAAGGAATTTTATTCGTAAGGTCCTACTTATATGAGGGGGATATTCAAAAGTCTTCATTAATAAATCTCAAAATTCATAAATATTTACCAGACATTCTCAAATTTTTCAAATTTCCTTCTAAGAATGTTTAGGATTTTTTTTTTCCTTAAAGATTTTACTGGGGACTTGGGGGAGGGGAACAGCATTGGGGAATTGGGGGAGGGGAACAGACAAGTTGCTGTCCTTTTGTTCTTCAGTCTAGTTGTGGAGGATGTTGCTTCACTGGCCCATGTTGGTATTATCATTGCGCTCTTCCCGGGTGAGGCAGTAGCTTGCCAGCCATTGAATGGCGGCTCACGGCAGCTCACGAAAGCGCATGCCCACTGCGGGCCAGTCCCACTGCAGCCTAGGCCGTCGCCGGCGACTCATGGCAGCCCAACTCCAGGTCGAGCTGTTGTTCACCATCTTAGCTGTAGAGGGCGCAGCATCACCGGCCCACATGCGGGATCCAAACCCAGGCCCTGCTGCTCAGAGCTGGCGTCCCAAGCCAAATCTTAACCAGGGTGCCACTCGCTGGCCCTAAGAATATTTAGTATTACGGCCATCAAAATACTTCAATAATTAAAGTCTAGTTTTTCTCACCTGCCTTAAAGTACATGAGTATCTGCAGGTCTGTCATAAATGAACAAAAATCTGTACTCTAGGTACTAACTGGTATCTGAATAAAAGAAGGCAGCATGTGTGGCCACACTAAAACTACTTCTCAAGTTTACCAAACCGCATAAAGGAAAAGACTTACCTTCTTCAGCATTTTTGAGCCACTCTACAAACTTTTTCATTTGTTCAAGGAAGACACTTTTCCCTTTTGCAACATGTGCATCTTTATACCACTTCAGGATGGGCTCTTCACTCAGGACTTCAGCTATAAAGAAGAAAGAACGATCATTACATTCGGGGGGTTTTCATACACTTCTCTAACTCAGGCAGTTAGGACCCACCTAAGGTGCAAATGCCTGCATGGCAAAAAAAGACCCTACTGAAAAATTAAGTAAACGCAATTATTTTAGTTGCTTACAAAATAAATCTTTAAAACACTCTCTTAACTGGTTCTCCAACAAATTAATTTTTAAAGAAAAACAGAAAAGATGAAATGAGAGCCCTATATTAAAAAACTTTTATCAACTTGTTGCCAAGTATGAACCTACTACTAGAAAAAAACTTATTAACCCAGTGATTTTCTTCACTGAAGGCAATTTTACCCCCCTGGAGACATTTGACAATGTTTACAGACATTCTTGGTTGTTAAAAATGGGGAAAGGTGTTACTGGCATCTATTGGGCAGATGTCAGGGATGCTGTTAAACACTCTACAATGCACAGGATAGTGGCCTACAAAAGGGTTAATCTGGCCCAAAATAACAGTAATATCAATGTTGAGAAACCTTGTGATAAATTATCAGAGATATTTGATAGATAATCCATTACTTTTTTTAGTTGTTAAAATGGTAGTGACTTTATTAAAAAGAAAAAAAAAATCCATGTACTTTACAGATCCATACTGGAAAAATTAGGAATTAAATAAAGATTTCTAGGATTTGTTTCTAAATAACCTGAGTGGGAGGAAGTAAGTAGGGGTCGAGATACTTTCAAGAAACCTAACTACAAGCTGATAATCACTGAAGCATGGGGTACTTGGGAGTTTTATTACCCCATTCTTTCTTAAAACAAAACAAAAACAAAAAAAAACTGGAATGGGGGTAGACCTGTGTTCTAAGTTTAGAATATTGGAACCAACAAAATCATTTGTGAAAACTAGGTGACAGAAGTAATACATGTGCATACAAAATACAATTACTGGGATCAAGGCTGGTCTGATTTATGCAGAAAAAAGCATAATCACCAACCACAGTAAATTACTGCAATGGGCTCTCTCCCAGTAGAAGTCATATCTTTGTTAACCATTTTAGAGCAGTGGTGTTTGTTTGTTTTTTAAAATTGGAAATTATAGAAAAGGGAACAGTAACTGAAAGAGGGTTTTACAGAAGCATTTTGAACGGGTCTTGAAAGACAAGTAGAAGTCCACATTGGGTAGTAGGGTAGGGTGAAGGGGATGTCGACATCTCACAGGCCAGACGACATACAGAGATGGAGTGCGTCTGGGGAAGAGAAACGGTAGAGTACAGGAGGCGAAGTTTGAAGCTGCATTAAAAAGGCTTTAGATTTTAATTTGTAAATAAGGATTAGAAATACTTTGATGCTCATGCACTAAAAAGCACCCAATTCATCGAGACAACTCAGTCCTGTAATTAGAGTAAACTATTTTAGGGAGCTGATGTTCAGATCACTACTCATTGAAATTATTTTGAGTATTCTAGGATTTTTATTAAATGTATTCACCAAATTGAAAATTTAAATTACCTTTATAAAAAAGCACCACTATTTTCTGGAAGGCTTTCATGAAATGAATGTTGTCATAGCAATACTCCTGAATCTTCAGTAACAGAGTCAGCTCAGACTGACCTTGAGTAGTAAAGGCAGCAAGTAGAGGGCTGTATTGCTTTTGAAGGGAAGGAAAAAGAGATTTAGTTATTCATTCTGATGACCATTCATAACAAAATTCCTAAAATACAGAATATAACTCATCTTTTACAATCACTGTGAAGTATATTCTAGTTAGTGGAAATAAAAAAATAGTAAAGCAGAGAAATCTATTAAGCATCTAAGTCAAATAAGCAATACTGCATCAAGGATTCCAGAGATAGAACTGTCAGTAGAATGTTAGTATTTTGGAGGAAAAAGAAAAAAATGCTCCTATTTTCTAATATTCCCTCAAAAGCAAACACAAAATTGTTGGCTTAAGCTACTTTTAAACACGTATTTGTTTTTAACCTATGAACCAAAGAAAGCCCAAGTCAGGCTTTTAACCAAACTGGTTTTTGTTTTAGCTGAGCCATCCTGCCACCTGTTGGCAGCTCAGCTCGGGCCGGGTATCGAACTGCTGTTGCTCAGAGCTCGCACTCTTGAGTGAGCTCTTAACCAACTGAGCCACTCGGCCGGCCCTCAAGTCAGGCTTTTAAAAAGGTTACGTCAATATTAATATGTTGTCTATTTACTGGTGGGTTATCCCCAGGAACCACAGATGTTAAACCGCCCCTCTTAGAAAAGTACAGTAACAGTTCACTTATCCCCATTTAAAAGCCAGAATAATGTTTTGTCAAGGCACAGTTCTAATACCTTCAAGTGCTTGATGGCTTGCTCTGCTACAAGCTCCTCTTTTTTGTTCCATTCCACAGTGCTCATTACACTGGACCAGATTATTCCAATGACGACAGGTTCTGGGATATTGTTTTTTTTCATCTCCTCCTTGACATACAAAATTATCTGCAAAAGAATCCAAACTTAATAAAGAAATCAGTTTTGATATGTACATACTCCACACATCAAACTTAGATCTAAAAGTATAAAAACACCTTTCTGTGCAACTGTCAAATGAGCACATGTCTACCACATATAATCAGACGGTTGTTGGAACTGGGAGGACAGACCTCTAGTTCAAACCTCATTTTACACATAGGTAAACCAACCAGGAAAGGACTGAGATGGAAACAGGTCTGTAGACTTGCACCCTGCAAAATCTCCCGTGTTAACTCACTCTGAAATACTAAAGTTCCTCAAATGAGTAAACATTTTCTTTGCCAGAGACTCAGCCATATAAAGATGGTTTGAACAAAAATATCTTACATCCTTAAATGGATCACCACGGGACATCTGTTCTTGAAGTTCTTTCTGGAGTTCCTTACGAGCTCCTATGGTTTGCTGATTCCGAACATATTCTGAAAGCTCCTTCAAGCCTGCCTCAGTAAAATACTTGGTGAAGTGTTCAACACTTTGTTTATTGGCAGGAAAAAGTTCCTGAAAGGAGAATTTAATCTGGTTAAATGGTCTTTCAAATCAGATTAACAAAAATACTTTCCCTCTTTTCACAGATTAAAAATAACCAAGTTCCCTTATTACACTTTCCTTAAGTCCGAGAATGGAAAAAGGAATGAAAGAAGTTACAAACCATCAGTCTGTTGTCCATGCTGACTTTCCGAAGACTTGAAGCTACTGCATTGATATCTTTTTCATTTATCCATGATTTAAAGAGCTTTACAGCAAAAGCTGCTGAAACCCCTGTAGAAGAAAAGAGCACACTTAACAGAAGTTCCTTCCTGGATTTCAACCACTGCATCTATTTCCTCCCTGCATAGTTCAACCACACGGGATTACTCACTTTATCTGTACACTTAACCCCTGAACTTCCTCTGTCACTGCTTACCATTTCCCTCCAATTTCTGTTCCTCCATTTGCTAGTTGTATATTCTTAGTCAAGTTACTTAAACTGCTTTCTAATATGCAAAAGGAGGGTAACAGTCCTTACACTTGACAGGGGTGTTGTGAGAATGAAAATAAGGCATGCTAAATACTCAGTACTCTAAGTAGTAAAAAGTTACCTTTTTTACTACTGTAAAGAATAATTTAACTATGAAAATCATAACAAGGAAATTATTTTCCTTTTCAGCTTGACATTTTCCCCAATGTCACTTTTCTCTATTAAAGATATCCCCAAGTCTCCCAATTGGAATTAATCTCTTTCTGGGTTACCATGGAATTTTTTTACTTTATAGTCACATTGAGTCTGAACCCTGAATATTTGCTATATGCCTAAAGAAAGCAATTACCCCTGGATGCCAAAAGTATACATTAAACTTCTAATGAATTTAAATGAACCTATTAAATTTAAGGATAGTTAAAAAGCCTCCTACACAAGTCAAATCTAGACAAACTATAGTCTAACTTTTCTATCAGTTCACCTTTCATGCTCTTATTCACCCCACCCTCAGCCAACTAAAGACCATCCTTTACTAAAGGTTTATTACCTTCTTTAACCAAATTCTCATTATAAAGGCTATTAAGAATGGATGCATTAAGTGTTCCATTAGCCAGAAGAACACCAGTCAACATAGCCAGCTTGTTCCTCTCCGACTCTGAAAAACCCTTTAAGAACAGCAGCAGCTATAAAAATAAATAGTTAAGAGTTAAAAGAGCAATTGCATTATATAAAGAGAAGCAGTAAAATATACTATATTGGTTAAAAGTGTGGGCTCTGGGGTGCCATCCAAGTTTGTATCTCAGTTTCAATACTCACTAGCTGAACAATCTCAGGCAAGTTAACCTCTGTCCCTCAGTTTCCACACATATAATACATGGATAATAAAACTTGTCTCACAGGGTGTTTTTGTGAATATTAAATGAGTTAATAATTAGAATAGGGCCTGATGGTTCATGTTACCATAAACATTACCAGATTTTCTGTGCACCTATGTATAGAATATCTAAGACTCAAAATGCAAGTATGGTAAATTTCTTTTTCACTGTATTTAGCTCTGATCCTCTTACATTCTATTTTTTTAAACAAACCCCACTTTTATTTTTACGGTTTTCTGACACTTGTTCAGACAAAGAACTAAAGAACTGTGTACAGCAAATTCAACTAAATGATTTACCCCAAAACTATATTTCAAAGACAGCCTAAATATTTTAAATGATCAAATCTAAACAGTATGGCCATTTCACAAAAAATTAAAAATACAACTACCATATGACCCAGTAATACCACTTCTGGGTATTTATCTCAAGAAATTCAAAACACTAATTCAAAACGATACATGCATCTCTGTTCATTGCAACATTATTTACAATAGCTAAGATATGGAAGCAACCTAAGTGGCCATCAATAAGACAAATGGATAAAGAAGGTGTGGTACACTGATGTTCACTGCAGCATTCTTCATGGTGGCCAAAACATGAAAACCACCAAAATGTCATTTGATAGGTGATTATATAAACAAGATGTGGTATATATATAAACAAGGAATATTACTCAGCCATAAGAAAATATGAAAAAATACTGCCATTTGTGACAACGTGGATGGATCTTGAGATTATCATGCTAAGCAAAGTCAGACAGAAAAAGTCAAGAACCATGACTTCACTCATATGTGCGATATAAAACTGAAAGCAGCAAACAAATAAGACAAACAAAAATTCACAGACACAGACAACAGTTTAGTGGTTACCAGAGAATAAGGGGTGAGGGAGTGGCAGAAGAGGGTAAAAGGGATCAAATATATGGTGATGGAAGAAGTGACTCTGGGTGGTGAACACACAATGCAGTCTATAGATGATGTATTACAGAAATGTACACTTGAAGCCTATATAATTTTACTAACCAATGTCACCTCAATAAATGAAAAAAAGAGACAAAGGAAGGGAGGGAGGGAAGGAAGGAGATGTGGTACATATAGATAATGGAATATTACTCAACAACAACAACAAAAAGAATGAAATCCTAACATTTGTACAATATGGGTGGACCTAGAGGATATTATGCTAAGTGAAGTAAGTCAGACAGAGAGAGACAAATACCATATGATTTTACTTATACGTGGAATCTAAAAAACAAAATAAATGAACAAACAAAGCAGAAACAAACTTAGAGAACAAATTGATGGTTGCCAGATGGGAGGGGGGTTGAGAGGATGGGTGAAAAAAGGGAAGTGATTAAGAAGTACAAATTGGCAGTTACACAACAGTCATGGGGATGTAAAGTACAGCATAGGGGATATAACACTATTGTAATAACTATGTATGGTGCCAGGTGGTACTAGACTTATCAGGGGAATCACTCTGTAGATTATATAAATGTCTAATCACTATGCTATACGCCTGAAACTAATATAATATTGAATGTCAACTGTAATTGAAAAATAAAAAATTTAAAATTATCTAAAATTGGTGGCAGAATTAGGATTTAACCCTCCCTGCTTTGACCTCAACCTTTTATTCTCCACAAAACATTGCTCCTCATACCTTTTTTACTTCATCTTCAAAACCTTTCTCCAGGTATTTGTAGCGCCTGATTAACTTGTTAAAAACCTATGAATAGTAAAGGAATTTAATTACTTCATATGTAAAGATACAGATTCCTAAAAAAGGATCTAGGTCAGGATCACTGAGATCTCTCATATAGTATCTCTAGAACAGGAAAGAAGTGAATCTTCCACTAGACATAATTGTTTACAAGCTGTTTTAACCAGCTTGGGAAGAGTCTGTCAACTTCCAAACCCCTCAATAGAATTTTATTGACAAATATTAAAGCAAAAACTAATTATTGCTCAAATACAAGTCATTTATCCATTTGTCGGATATTAACAGAATAAGATCATAAAATATAGTTCTACTTTCCTAATAACATAGGTAACAATATCTAGGTTAGGTGCACTTGAAGAATTCTTTGCTTACAGAAATGTGAACATAACTGTGTGAAACCTTCAAATGAGATTTTGATTGGTAAGTTAATCTGCCTAGAACTCATTCACCTATTAAAACGTTATATGCAGAAGAACTCAATGATGGAAATCACGAAAGGGAACTGATTTTCCTTTTCGGCTTGACATTTTTTTCTTAAAAATGGATTAATTTCAAAGGAACAAACAGGAAAAAAAGAGCAAATCCAATCTTTTCTTTTTACTTTGTTTTCCTCAACACAGTTGAGGTTTCTAATTCATAATATTGCACCAAGAACATCATCTCTAAACCTTCAGTTCAAATTCCTCCAATCTTCTACCTGCAACTTCTTAAAAGTAGACTATTCCTTAAATATTAGTCAGGTCGATAGTAGCTAACTGAAATAAATATGTCAAGTTTCATTACCTGAGCAAATGCTTGCATGGTCTCTAAGTCTTCTTGTGCTGCGAACACACAGACATCTGTACGCATCATGTCATCTGCCAGTGTACCACCTGGGGCTAAAGCATATTTTACAAAAAATTTGCAGTGAACATCATTTAAAATTAATAATCTTTCAATCTTATTTTCTGTGAGGATTCTCATAAAATAAAGTTAAAAATTCTAAGAGATAATTTAAAAGCAAAGTCAATTTCTCAGCAGGAACATGGCTAGTAGGTTCAACATATGTGAATAAAGTGATACAGTTTAAAGGAATAAAATAACTCACTTTAGCAACTCAATAAAACTCGATACATTAACTATTCAATCAATAGTGTTAAATCTGTCACTGAAGTGGAGGTGTTCAGAGTTGGTTTTGATATATAGCTTGCCACATAGAAAACAAAACAACCCTTCAAGTGTCCAAAGAGGCTCGGGTATAAAAATCCACGTTAGAGACTTATCTTTTAGATACATTTGTAAGTATGGGTAAAATGATGTCTGATGTATACTTTAAAATACAGAGGAGGGGAATGAAGTTTGTAGGGGCACAGACAAAGATTCTTAATTACTGTTGAAGTTGGGTAACAGATCATTCATTATACCATTCTCTCTAGGGTATATTTGAAAATTTCCTTAGTAAATGTTTTAAAAAGGATTTTAAAAACAGGCTTATTGATAACAGGATTATGAAATAGATATCTTGCATATTTCTTACTACAAACTGGTAATACAATGAAAGAAATACTCATTCGACTATGCATTAGAATGTATGAACATAGGTTCCTGGTTCCACCACTGAGCAATTGTTTGCATGCAAATTACTGAAGCCTTTCTAAGTCTCCATTCTGCATGTATACAAATGGAATTCTGATTCTATTAGCTTGGCTGTGAGGGTCAGTACAATATTACTATCATCATTTGAAGGTACATAACTAAGTAGCACATTCTGTTAAGATATCCTGACCTGTTGATGGTGGAAGGAAGAGTAAGTAAGAGCAGCACCGTGCAACACAGAAATATATGAGCCACATAATGTAATTTCAAATCTTCTACTAGCCATATTAAAAATACAGGGTGAAATTAATTTTAATATATTTTAACCCAACATATCAAAATATTATGCTTTTAACATTTCAGTATTCAAAATATTATTGTGATGTCTTACATTTCTTCTATGTCTTTAAAACCCAATGTGTATTTTATACTTATAGCACATCTCAATTTGGATGAGCCACATTTCCAAGTGATTTATAGCTGCATATATCTCAAATAGTTCATATTCTGGATTCTAACAGTCTTCTCCAAACAGCACACTTCCCACAACACCCAGACACTTACCCAGCATTCCGCCGGCCACCAGAATGTCAAAGAGTGTTTCTGCATATCGGCGGTAATCAAGTTTTGCTCCAGAAGCATCAAGAAACTTTGCTACTGCTTCCAAATCAGTACCAGTTTCAGTTAAGCCTTGAATAATACAGTCTTGAAACTGAGTAGGGTCAAACCTCTCTTTTTCATCTGAAAGGGAAAACCCCCAAAACGGTCAGTTTTAAAAGACTTACCAAAATACCAAGAAACCACCATCTTATGAAGTTATAACTACTGGGTAAGTTAAGCACATTCATCATAATTTCATTTATTTCAATAGCTTGAAAAAACAAACACAAGCTAGATTACCCGAGACTTGGAACACTTAGCAAATACAACAGAAGACTAAACACACATCATTTGCAAGTTTCCCCTCTGCTAGTGTAAAGTAGGATTGCCTAGTCACAAGAATTGTACAGCTTTTCTTCCACTATTTTTTCACGTAAGTCTTGTAAGTGAGCTAAATAAGCTAGTGTGTTCCTACCGCCAGGAGATAATTTCTATCTGGAATACTCTTCCACTGTCTCTGGGCTTTTCTGAAATTTAGGACATCCTCTAAACCTCAGGTCAATTTTATTCCTGAATGAAATTTTGTCCAAACACTGGAGCTCTTGAGTCTTTTCTTTTTTCTTGGTTTCAGGTGTGCAAAACAATGTAATAGACGATAACCCTCCTCCCCCATGGATTCTTTTCTTTAAATGACCATAACACTTTGCATGATTTTTTTTTTTAAATCACTCCTTTGGTACTATTAAGATCATCTTTAGAAAGTACATTCATTGGGTATCCAATATATGACAGAAACTGCAGCAGGTGCCTTGCTTCGATCCTTATAACAACTGTGTGAGGTAATTTTTTTGTCCCCATTATTTAGAAGGAAAATTGAAAGCCAGGGAAATTAGACAGACTGTATTGTGTATTGTGTAGTAGCTAAGATCAAGGGCTCTGGAGCCAAACTGCCTGATCCAAATCCTGGTCACCATTTAACTGTCTGAGCAACCAGTCTCATTCTTTATGCATGAATTTTCCTATTGTAAAATGGTGATTAAGAGTAGTACCTATTGCACATAGATGTTCTTAAATGATATAATCAGAACAGTGCCCTGGGTACATACATAGCTTTTGAGTTGCCATCACACACACTATGATAGAGTTTGATTTCTCTATCTAGGTTAGATGCTATCTTAATTTTCACACAGCACTAGGATGACCAACTCCTCCCTGCTGCCCAGGACTTTCTTGTTTTGGGCACTGAAAGGCCTATGTCCTGGGAACTCTCTTCAGCCCCAGATAAGTTGGGGACTGAAGACCCCATCAAGATCTACTCAAGACCCAATCATCAAGAATTAGGAGGGCATGAGTGATCTCAATCTGGAAGCAGGATGTGCTATCTCTTCCTGATGCTAACAATAAAATTACTTGATACTATATTTATATTAAGGTGATGCCAGTAATACACATACTCAATTCAAGAGGATAGAGACTTCCCCCCCATTACTGCTAAATTGCTCTGGTTTCCAACTTCTGTTCCTCTTCTTGAGAAAATCTACAGGCTTAAATGTAAATGAATCTGCAAAGACTAGCATCAAATCACTCTGGTCTCCCAACTACAAGGTGACAGACTATAGAGATAACAAAAGATTCTATAACATATATCTCAAAGTGTCTCTACTCAGGGTAGAAAAACACAGTTTGTAAACAGTAGCTGACCCAGTTTTCTCTATCTCCTTAAAATCTCCTGTAAGATAAGGTCAGTAAGTACTTTTGAGCAATAACATAGAAAAGTTTTGGGAAAAATATCAAGCCAAATACAAAATACATCTGAGACCACATCTTATTTAACTTTGTATCACTAGTGCAGTGCCTTGCTACAGAATTCAATATTCATCTAAGTGCCTGCTGCTAATACAGAGAAGTAGTTCATAAAATTCCAACACTTTTCTTACTAAGCCTGTGAGAAATATTTCATTTCAAAAATTACAATGTTTCATAATTAACATTCATGGGTAAAGTTTGCTTTTTCTCTCACAAACCTTCAATTTGGGTGAAATCAGTGATCACATTAGGAGCTCTCTTTTTATAAATTAACCTTTTCTCTCAGGCAAAAACTTGCTTAAATAAAATTTACTGAAAATGCAGCCCATGCTTAAAAAAATACTTAGAAATATTAAGGGTGTATCTGAAACAGTAGTCAACAAGAAATTCAAATTCCTTCCTGATATTTTCTCTTAAAAGTTTTAATACTGAGCAATTGCCAGCCAGAGGATTCAAGATGTAACAGTTATTCTGGAGATCTGAAGAGAGATGTTACTAAGACATAAATTATTTACCTCTTTTTCTGGTTTTAAAACGCTGGCCTGATAGCGTTGGCTTTTGCTGCTTTTGATTATTCATAAAAGACACCCTAGGAAAAGAAACATAAGGCCTTAAAATATCAGTGCTGTAACATTCATTTTAAAAACAAAGCATCAAACCTTGGTCTAGTCACATATAAATGACACTGAACACACCCTATCAGCCTGACAATACACATGGGCAGGAAAAAATGATTACCTTCACTTGAGTTAAATATTCAAAACCTGCATTCCTCCCCACGAGAAACCCTTTCAAGATGTATTGTGAAGTACAGTTTCGGGTGACTTGACAGCGCCAGCGACCGGTGGCAAACCACCCATCATAGACAACTGTGGGGTCTCTTCCTCGTTCCTCTTTCAATTCGCCAACATCTTGCACTACTTCTAAGCACCACAGCAGGCTGGCAGAGATCACCACCACAGCCACACATGCATGTCGTTTTTAAGACACTGTCACACATGCATGTCGTTTTTAAGACACTGTCAAAAGGCGAATCCCTTCTTCTGAACTGCCTGGTTGTGACCCCCACCCTACCCTCGAGTCGTGCGGGTGACCGCAGCGGCCGCTTCGCTCCTCCCGCCTGCAAACGGAACTGACAGCAGGCCTAGCCTCCCGTGCCCCACGGCCTACAGCCCCGGCCTGCTCCGAGGGCACGTGCCTCCCGCACCGGCGACAGCCCGCCCGCCCCCGCCGCCCAGGAGCCCCCGATCGAGGCAGGGCGCCGCGGGAGCTGCTCCTCGCCCCTCCTTCACTGACCCCGTCGCCGGCGGTGGCGGCCGCCGCAACGAGCGGACCACGGGATCCGAGGCGCTTCGCGCCGGGGGCCCCGCCGCCCCGTACATCCGCCCGCCTTCCAGCGAAGACAGCGGCGGTGGAGGCGGCCGCAGCGGTGGTGGCGGCCCCGCCGCCCCGCCCGCCGGAACCCCCCACGCGTACATCACCCAACAGAGGCCACGGCGGCTTTGTTACCCAGGCCGGGCAGGGCCGCGGGCGGGCAGGTCTCGGCCACTGCCCCCGCCTGTCGCCGCGGCGCACCCCGGGGCCCCACGCCCCGGCCCGGGCCACCGCCCCTCGGTCTCCCTCCAGAAGCTGCGGCCCTGGCCCTACAATCCAGGCTCCGGACCTGGCTCGGCCTCATGCGGCGGCCTCTCCTCGGGCCCATCCCGGCCGGGCCGCCCAGGACCGGCCGCCCCCCCCCTCCGCCGCCCGCAGACGAGGGGCCGCCACCTCGGCCGAGAGGCGCGGGCGCCGCGCCTCACCGAATTTAAGGCGAAGAGAAAAGAGCCAGAAATCCCCGATGCGGCGACAACTGCGGCGGTCTCTCCTCTATGGCCGGAACTAACGCGAGCAAGAGGAGGAGGGAAGCGGAGCCACCGCCGCCCCGGCGCATATCCTATCGCGAGACTTCTCCCGCTGGCGCCCTGCCCAGCCGCTCCCGGATCGTGGCCCTGCGCCTCCGCCTTCTCCATGCCTTCTGGCTCAGGATGGGAACGTAGGGGAAGGGAGGAAGGAAGGTTTCCAGCCCTTCTTTAGTTCCTGATTGAGGGCCAGGCTTCCCGGACACGGATCCTCGACTGGCCTATCATTCTTTCGCCGCCTCGTTTTCCGGCCTCTTAGCACGTGGAGGGGCTAAGAAACGAAAGGCGCCTCTCGCCCCCGCCAGCCTCGAGGACGTTGGACACGTCGGCCCCGGTCCCTTCCCCATCGACTCCCTCCTCTTGCGCCGGAAGTGGAAGCTAGAGGGCGGGGTGGGGAGGAGGGATGCTCGCGGCCTTCAGTGGGTCAAAGCTGAGTTTGGGGAAGGGGACCCCGCCTCTCCTGGCCTTTCTTCCGGGCTGGGTTGGTAGAACTCGCCCAGACTATGTCCAGAGCGTGGCGACGTTGCGGTGCTGGCTAGGTGGGGTCGTGCACTCCTCTCTTAGGAGCGAGGAAGATCCAGATAGAGGGTTCAGGAGGAAATTCTGCCCTCCAACCGTGGCCACCACTCCTTGCAGCGGTTGCTGTCTTTCCTGAGTATGGCGGTTGTGGGACCTTGGAGAACATCAGAATCCCATGGAGAACTTTTAAAAACACTCATTGCGGGGCCTCACCCGCAGAGATTAATGAAGATCTGGCTTGGGATTCAAAAATCAGCATTGCTAACAAGTTCCCAGTGATGACAGTGCTGCTGATCTAGGGACCACACGTTTGAGAACCACTGAATTAGAGAACGTATCTATCAGAGAGCTGGGAGACGAGATAATATGTGTGAAAAGCACTGTGGATGTTATAGTACAAATGGAGATGCACAGTGTCCCCAGGATCTAGCCTCATGTTTTTATTCTGTTTGTACATTAGTTGTTTGCCTCTCCATTGCTTCCTTACGCTCCTCCTACCTGAGAAACCCCCCAAACTGGTTATCCCTAAAATCACCATCCATGGATCCTGCTTCTCTTGTTTATCAAACATTTTGGTAAATTAGTCTATATAAGTTGACTTGTTTTCCTTAGCTATCTAAACTCTGCCCCCTGCCTCTCCTAACTTCATGGAGTATTATTTTCTCAGTCCTTTCCTGAAATTATTGCCAAATCCAGTGATTCTCTCAGTGCTCACCCTCTTTGTCTCCTCTGAGCATTTAAGGTGTTGGTACCCATCTCCTTAAAACTTTGCTCCAACTGTCCTGGTTACCTCCCCCAACACTCCTTTGTATTTGCTGGCTCCTCTTTTCTGTACTCAGGCCTTTTGTCTTCTTCCCTAATGCTTTCTTACATGTAATAACTTAAATGTCCAGTCCTGTAAGGATTTTTTAAGAGTTTATTTGAGCCAAACTGAGGACAAGCAAGATCTCAAAATGCTCCTGAGAATGACACCTTTGCAGTCATTTATGCATTTGGAATAAAGGAGGCAACATAAGAAAGATTACATGAAAGTGGGAGAAAGCAGGTTGGGGACCGGATTCAGGATAGTTAACAAGATTATGTGCTCTCTTGAGGGTGGTTACACCTTTGAGGGGTCTGGAAAGGAGGACTTCTTCTGGCGTTTCAAGAGTGTGTTAACCTAGATGCACAAAAACAATGGACAGGACTTGCTTAAAAACCTTTTACTAAAGAAGTTGTAGGCCTGAGGCATGACTACCCACCATGATCTGCCCAGTTAGAGATTTATGATCAGGTCACCCTGTGAGGTGAGGTTATTTTTGGTTAGATTTATTACAGCACCTCTTTTGCATCCACACAAGGCAGTCTCATATATTCCTAGGGATTTAACTTATATCTCCATTTAAAAGAGTTCCACATTTATCTAATTAAATATTTGTTGAGTTCTGATTCTGTGCCCTTTCAGGCTGAACAAGCAGACATGTTGGAGGAACCCAAAGAGGCTAGGGAAGTGACTAGAGTCAGCTCTCTAAGTCTAGCCTTTCCTCCAAATCCCTAATCCACTCTATCTGGTATCTCCATTGAATGCCAAACCAAAAACTCTTAGTACTATGATTACTCTCCCCAAAACTGTTTTTCTCACTTCTCAAGTTCTGTTAAGGATATAATGTTTCACTAATAAAAATATTAGCTACTTTTATATACCAGGTATATGGCTCATGCATTCTTCTAAGCACTTTATATATTAATCTTATTGCTCAGAATTATCCTATGATCTAGAAACTATTGTAGATGAAAAGGGATTCTGCAGAAAGTAACCTCACAGGGTGATCTGATCATAAGTTCCTAACTGGGCAGGTCAAAGATAAGGTTTATTTTTGCCTTAAGCAGCCCTATCCATTGTTTTTGTGCATCTAGGTTAACACACCTTTGAAATAAGGTACCCACCCTCAAGAAAGAACATAGTCTTAACTATTTTGTAATCTAATCCCTACCTTGATTTCTCCTACCTTCATGTAATCTTCCTTATGTTCCCTCCTTATTCCAAATGCAAAAAAGAAACTGCAAAACTGTCAATCTGTGGAGCATTTGGGATGTTACTTCCCTGCAATAATCATCAGCTTTGGCTTGCATAAACTCTTATAACAATTCTCTATAGGTTCAGATTTTGCTTATGTCAACACTATTATGAGCCCCATTTCATAGATGGGAAAACTAAGGCATAGAGAGGTCAAGTAATTTACCCAAGGTCATAGAGCTAGTAAATGGAGGCGTTTGATTCAAATCCACGCAGTCTGGTTCCACTCTTATGATATATTGCTTTGCCACCGAGGTCTCGTTTATTTATCTATTCAACAAATATTCATTGAGCTAAAAGCCACTAGAGCTATAGAGGTGACAAGTTAGATCTGTGCCCTCACAAAGCTTATCTTCTATATCTCTCATTTCTATCATCTTCTTTCAGTATCATCTTGATTTAGGCCTCTACCCCTAACTAACTGGAACTGAAACAGGGCCTTGTGGGCACCCCCATAGTATAGGTCTCTCCATATCCCTGGCCTCACTTTTCCTTGACCTACCTATAGCTTAGCAATAGATCATCTTCCTGCTGCTTGAGCTCAGAATGTCCCCTGTCCCACCCAGTTCCCTGTTTTAAAAAATTACCCTGAAACTTATTAATACTCTTAGGCTTATTGATCACAATCTCAATGATACCAGGTGAATCCCATCATTGTTCCTGGGTTGCCTCTGGAGGAATGCCCAGATTTTCCCTTTAAAACCCCAAGCTGGTCGGAGAATGGTAAGGCTGTTTTTGGAGGTGTTAACCCGCTGCCTTCTCGGACCACCAGTGCTCTGATAATAAATGCTTATTCTATGACCCAACTCCTGTGTCGATCTATTAGCTGAGTGGTGCAGGCAGCACTAGCCCTGGACTTGTGTGGCCTCCGGTTTCAGGACTTTTGCAATAACTTTCTAATTGTGCTATTCCTTTCTCCACACTTCCAGAGTAATCTTTCCAAATGCAGCCTGAATCACTCTTCAATGTTTAAATGCCTTGGTTTGTACTTGAGACCACCAGGGATAGCTCGGACCAATGTTTTTCACCTTTACGTCCCATCACATTGGTGGTTCTTAACCAATGATTACCATCCATTGTGGGGTATGTAGCAAGCAATTTTGAATGAAAACTGTATTTAAGTTAGCAACTTATTTCCTTTAAAAATTAAAGCAGGTTGAAGATTATTATAAGTTCATTCTTACTTATTTGCATATATGTTATTGGAAGTGAGAGAGGGAGTGGGGTCACTGGGAACTGTACATGGCAGGCAGCCTAGCGTATCTGTGCTTTTGGGTATGCCCACAGGAGTCTGTGCAGTGCGCTGGCATAGGAAATGTTTGTCAACTGTATCATGGCAGAAAAGATTCCACACAACCAAACTCGAAGCTTTAGTCTGACTGGACACACTGTGTCTGTACTTCCCTCATTTTCTACTGTCAAAATCGTACTTATTATTTCAAGCCTTATCTCAAATACTACCCTTTCCCTTAAGCCTTTCTTAGTTACTGCAGCTGATGTGAACACATTCCTTTTTGGAACTTTCTTGATATTTGACCTACTTTTGTATTTGCAGTTATCTTTTCTCCTACACTGAATTTCTTGATGGCAATGGAAATGTCTTACTTCTTTTAATACTGCCTCAATGTATGGCAAGCTACATGCTTTAATAAGTATGGAATGAATTTGATAAAGCCAATACTTTGATCATAATTGCAGACTTGGCCATGGAGAAAGAAGGGCGACAAGGAAGTTCAAGCTGGGTTTCTTACAAGAATATTGGAATATAGACATTTGAAAGAGGGTTTAGTCCCCAGCTATTTTTGTGATTTTACATGAGTCACTTGACCTCTCTGAAAAATGTGAGTAACGATGCTTTACATGATAGTTAAGACTCTTGTAACTTTCATAACTGGGGTTCTATATGTGGATGAAAAAGTAGCTCTGTGGTAAGTAATCTCACAGGGTGATCTGATCATAAATTCCTTACTGGGCAGGTCATGCTGGGTAGTCACACCCCAGGCATATAACTTCTTTAGTAAAAGGCTTAGTTTTGCCTTAGGCCAGCCTTGTCCATTGTTTATGTGCATCTAGGTAGGTTAACACACCTTTGAAATGCCCCCTTTCAGAACCTTCCTTCTAAATCATGACCACTCTCTTGGTTAGAGCGCATGCTCTTAACAACAAATGTTGCTGGTTTGATTCCCACATGGGATGGTGGGCTGCGCCCCTCCCCACCCCCCAGCAACTAGATTGAAAGCAGCAACTGGACTTGGAGCTGAGCTTGCGCCCTCCATAACTAAGATTGAAGGACAACAGCTTGACTTGGAGTTGATGGGTCCTGAAAAAACACAATGTTCCCCTTCCCCAATTCCCCAACACTATTTCCTTCCCCAATTCCCCAATAAAATCTTAAAAATCAATCAATCAATCAATCAATCAATCAATCAATCAAAATCTTGACCATTCTCAAGAGTGCACAATAGTCTTAACTATCCTATTATCGAATCCCCACCTTCCTTTCTCCCACCTTCATGTCATCTTCCTTACATTTCTCTCCTTAATCTCAAATGCATTAAAGAAATTCCAGAGCTGGCCGGGTGGCTCAGTTGGTTAAGAAGTAGCCCAAGAGTGTGAGCTCTGAGCAACAGGATGCCGGTTCGATTCTCACATGGGCCAGTGAGTTACGCCTGAACTGGGCAGCCGCTGAGCTGCCAACAGGTGGCAGGATGCCTCAGCTGGTGAAAGCACATGCTCCTAACAACAAGGTTGCTGGTTCG